CTGAGGAAATGCTGGAACAAGACCTGGGAGTGGAGGACCAAAAGGTTTCAAGTCGTGGAACCCGCCTGGTGTTTCCTCTGGAGGATAATGCATGACTTCCCCCCCAGCCCCTGAAGTGATGGGGTAGGCCCACTGGCGGGGTGAGGATGGCCACAGGCCCCAGTGTGGGGTGGGGTATTAACAGAACTGAACTTAAGGTATTTTAGTGGGGTCTGGAGATATCTTAACACTTAAAATTTAACCCAAGATACAGATGGTGGGGCTAAAGTGTTTCTAAATCAAGACAAGTGCAGACCTCTTTCCACTTTTTCACCTAGTAGTGCACAATTTCAGAGTTAAACAAACAAACAAAAAAAAGCATGCTTCAATGGTCTCTTAATTCATTCTCCTGCAGTATCTGAACAAAGGGAGGCAGGTGTTGGAGATTCCTCCCATGAGAGGCTTCATATTAATACACAGCAGTGCCAGTCTAGCTTTGGCTCTAGGAGGGGAAGTTAGGAGAGAACAGACCAGAATAAAGATTAAAAAGGAAGGCAATTGAGGTTGGACTGCCAAGGATTATGGGAAGCTAGTGTTAAATGGGGTAGAAAACAAAAAAAAAAAAAAAAAGCGATTTTCATGGAGGCTTCAGAGATAAAGGCTGCAGGACTGCAACATCATTATCAGGTTTCCTGACTTTTATGCTACCTGTGTTTTCTCTAGACTGAAGACTGCAAAATATATCCGTGAACAATTCAACACAGGGGAAAAAAGTTTCTTCTCTAGAAATCTCCATATAGAAGTAGTTATTGAAATATTTAAAACCAAAGGCAAAAGTATTACACTGTTTTTTTTTTTTTTTTTAATCCGAGGACAGGAGATATTTGGAAACTGCTGTTGATAACACTGTAAAAATAATTCAACTCTTGAGGGCCACCATACGAACTCACTATCCTGATACCTGAACTTTGCCCTGAGGGTATGAGAGGGAAATGATTTAATAGGACTAAGATCTCTACTGTGGATTTAGAAATCACACCAGAATTGTGGGATGCTTTATTCTGGCGAAGGGAAGACAACAAGAAACCTGAGAGGCAAAAGGCTCATATTTATAGGCGAGAAAGAAATCTCACTGCAAAAATATTAACTGCAAAGAGAATGTAAAATAGGTAGTATTCTGAAGACTGGGTAGAATTCCAGAATTTGAGCTGATCATTGTATGAGATTTTGGTGAACATGTGAGGAATCAGAGGGGAATCGATTGAAAATTCAGTATTTTTAACAGTGAGAATTTTGGGTACTCTGAGGAAAATACTTTTAAGAGTCCAAGTGTCTTCACACTACTAAGTGCCATGTTGAGAAGGGTAATTTCCTTGGTATGTGGGGAGGCTTGCATCAGCTTAAGGACTGGGGATAGTTGGAATTTGAGTTTTGTAGTTAGGGTTATTGCAGGGTAACGCTATTCTTCTTGCCCTTACCTGTAGCAGGTGAAATACTGAGAATTCTTGGAAAAGTTTGTTTTTCCCCATGTCTCTCTGCTTCAGTACTAGCACTTTTGGCAACCCAGTTTTTAAAAAAATGTTCCATAACATGCAGTCATTCTTCTTCTTATGGTAGACAAAACAGTGCCCCAATCAAGCACACCCATAATGAAAGCAGACATTTGATCTTCTTAATTAATTTTAATGGTTAATTTTTAAATAAGACATTGCTTTGCGCTATATAGTTTTGTGCAAACCAAGAAGAAAAAATTCGGCTGAGCCACACTGAAAGTGTTGCTACCCAATTAATTTTGAAAAATGGAAGCAACAATTTCAAATGGTTCAATATTATATAATTGAATGACTTTTGTATCAGGTTGTCCTGTTTCCTTTCTATCAAATATAAAGTCCCTTTTGATTTTATGATTGTCCTTGGGCTTTATAAATTTGAATAAAGCTAAACAAAGTACTTAACCCCATGAGACCTCAGGGCTACCTAGGCTAATGAAAGAGTTAAGAAAATCTGTGACCCACAGCCAGGGAAACAGTTTTCTTAGCCCCTGGAAGAGAGGTTATGATGTTGTGGTCTCAGGCTGCAGAAAGGTACCCTGGTGGCGCAGTCGCTAAGCTCTCAGCTGTTAACCAAAAGTTGGTGATTTGAACCCGCTAGCCACTCCACAGGGAGCTCTGATAGCATAGTGCCTAAGGCACTTGACTGCTAACCAGAAGGCTGGTGGTTCAAATCCACCAGCCACTCCTTGGAAGGAAGGTTGGACAATCTACTTCTGTAGTGATACTGCCTCAGAAACCCAAGGAGGGGTCACTATGAGTCGGGTCTGACTCGACAGCACATAACAACAACAAGCCACTCCACAAGAGAAAAGACTGGGCAATCTGCTCCCATAAAGATTACAGCCAGCCTAAGAAACCCTATGGAGCAGTTCCGCTTTGTCCTGTAGGGTTGCTAGGAGGAGTTGGAGTCGACTCACTGGCAATGGGTTTTCAAGCTGTAGACAATAGCTGCCGGGTTAACATAAGGTTGGAGACAGATGGATTTGTTCCAGCCCAGGAGTTTTTATTTAGTAGAGAAGGAAGGAAGACAGGGCAACCTACTTCTGTAAAGATTTACTGCCTTGGAAACCCAAAGGGGGTCACTATGAGTCGGAATCGACTCGATGGCAGTAAGCTTTTTGTTTGTTCAGTTTTTTGGTTTAGAGTGATCTCGGTAGTGATCAGTTACGCCATATAAACCTGAAAGGTCAGGGCTTGCTTTCTTTTTTTCTTTTAGTTGAGGGAGAGGAGAGAGTAGTTGACTCTTATCTCCACTAACCTCAAGGTTTTGTTGTCATTTGAGTTTTCTAGGAAACTTCCAGCAAATTATAAGAAATTATCCACATAAGAAGGAAAAATAACCAGTGTTTCCCATCCTAATCTTAGGTCAATCCGCAGATTGTTGTGTTTTACCCCAGAGTGTCTCACAGTCTTCACTGCAAATGTTTTATTATGACCCATGCTTCAATATAAGTAAATAGATATTTTGTATGAGAAAAACTTAGCTAGGATTATTGTTATTTGATTGAGTCCTTTATTCAGTGGATCAGGGTAAGTCGCTTTGACCAGTAGTTCTAATTTTTCTGTTTGTAAGATGTGGAGCATAATCCTGACCTTTCAAGGGGTTCTGGGAAGATGAGTCCATTTGTCAAGATGGTTCCAACTCTAGAAGCATTATGCCCAAGCTGGAGACAAGTTGGGAGCCACGTAGCCCAAAAGCCATTTAACTCAAGGCAAACTACCTGCTGCTAGTCTCATATAAAGTCAGATTGAAACTGGTGAGTAATGGTACATTCAGCTTAATTGAAAAGTTACTTTTCTGAGAGTAAAAAAAGTCCCCTTATGAACATATTTGTTCTGAGTTGGGGAGAAGGGAAGATGGCAGGCAAGCAGTTCATCAGTCTACTGTTCCAGAACAGAGGTTCTTAACTCTGGCCATTTTTTTTTTCTTCAAAATACCAAGCAAGGGCCTACTGCCAGAGATTCTAATTCAGTAGGTTTAGGGTGGGGCCTGGACAGACATACTTGGTTCTGGAACCTCAGGGGGTTTTCATGGGCAGCCAGGGTTGAGAACCTTTAGTCAAGAGCTTGCAGTGGACTCTATTTGAAATCTTATTTAAAGGAAAGGCCTACTAAGCTAGGGATTTTTAAACTTGTTAGTCATGTGGGACAAATTGTGTTGATCAGTGATACAGACTGGACAGCTGTGAAGGACATACTCCATGAAGCACAACCAAAAAGATCATGTTTTAAAACCTTAGAATATGAAGGGTAGAGAAGGGTGATAATTATGTACAAGGAGAATTTAAAACCTGTCATCTTTGTTCCCATTTGTGGGAAAAAAGGTTTTATTTTAACTGAGCTATTGACTAATAAAATATGAAGGTTTCCAGGAAGCTATCTTTTCAATTTAATCTGGTATTAAATTAATAGTTCCCTTGTAGTCAAAGGCTCTCTTCAGACTCCACTTGTCCCCATACTTAAAGCTCTGTTAGATTCCTCAGAATAAAGGGTGGGCCCATTTACTACCAGAGAAGAGGTCTCATGTTAAGTGGAAGGTCCTTATTGCTTTACTGTCATATGGTAGCACCTCTGGCGGTGTCAGTGTCAGAAGCAGGTAATTAGGAAGATGCAAACTTTTGTATAGCACTTAGAGAGGGAATACCAAAATTCCTGTCATTCCTTTTAATACTCTTTTTGGGGATTATAAGGAAACAAACTTCTTCTAGAAAAGGAAATTTGGAATTTATATAAGGGTGCATTTCTTCCTAGGAAACAAGTACAGGAAGGGCATACATGATTAAATGGACTGACCATCCATGGTATTTACTGGGGTACCCAGACAAATAAGCATTGATGCCTTGAAGCCAAAAATCACACTGTGACATCAAACATTTCATCTAGCAAACAGCAAGGAACTCTTAGGGCTGTGTTCTCTAGACCCTAAAATGTCTTCTGTTCTTTGGCTGACAAAAGACATCTGTTTAGAAAATGTAAAAAACATTCTCTCACCCATCCATGAACATCTCAACTAGGGCAAAGAATTACAGTTCCTTCCAAAGTAGAGGTCTGCTCTGTGCACCATCCGTCCTCCATCACATCTCTACTCTTCTTTGTCCTTAGTGGAAGCTAATGTACTCTTCTCAGATATTTAATGTGAACAAGTGACTTCCAACTGTAGAAACATCACTGATACACTTAGGGAAGGCTAGCAGTGGGGCAATTAAGCTACTCATTAGAGGTGAAAATCATCCACGTGGAAACCTACCTTGGTCTCCATTGTGAGTTCTAAAAGGTGTATCAGAAAGCCAATCTTCTGTTGTAAAATGCAATCTGGAATTATGAGGGGTATTGGAAAGTCAGCTTGCCGATTTAATAAGTATGACTTCTTATTCCACTTCAGAAGTGGAGGACTTACTTAACAAGTTTCATGCCTGCTTTTTGACATTGATTCTTAGTACAGAAGTCAGTCTGTCAAATCCATTAGACAGGTATTATTGAGTTCTGATCTTTTATGTTGTTTTATAAATAAGAATCTGGCTTGCCATTGTTGAATATAGTAAGCTGAATGTATCTAGTAGCCA